GTTCCTGGAAAAAGTAGAACAAACGATCTGTGCGTAAGAGTCTTGAAGATAACAAGGTGATAAGTTGCAGGCATACAGGACTGTCAAGAAGAAATCCTACCAGAACAGACTGCCCTTTTCCTTTTCTCTTTTTTTTTTCTTTTTTTTTTCCTCTGTACAGAGTAAGCAACCAGGGAAGAAAAAGGAGATGTCCTTTATTCCCACTACAGTAAGGCTATTCACACTCATTTGCATGATATTCACAAACCAGCTATATATACACACTCTGGGTAAAACTGGTGGAATATGGATGCACAGCCTCAAAGAGAAGCCTAATTGCAAGAAAGTCCTTAGGATTTTGCACCAGATAGCTGCAGGGGACCCTCCCAGGTTGGTCAGTCTTATTGTTAGTGGCTTTGTAAGTGCAACAGAGATGATGTTCATTGAGCCTGATGACAGTGTCATGCCAGGAGGAATGGGGAACGCATGGGGAACAGAATCAGAAGTCAAAGGGGTCTTCAGAAGCTGGGGGACCAAACAGGAAAGGAATTGATACGGACAGGCACAGCACAGAAATACATAATCCACTGAAGAAATACAAGTTAGAGAACAGCTCATAGGAGAGCAGGTAGGAAGGTTTTAGGTTTTAATGGTCTTAACAGGTCACAATATGAATGTACTTCTCTGTTCAGAGATCAGTGTTATCCTTGCACAGATGGACATGAGTGCAGTCTCTGAAAAAGCCTCTTCTCTCCATTTAGTACTGATGCAGCTCTGTCAGTAGTATTATGCTTGACTGTAGCAACCACATTTCCCTAAAGCTGTAGATTGGTTTTATGAGAGAGCTTAGAGAAGAAAAACAAAAATAATCAGAAGTCTAGAGAGGATTAATCTCTGCACATTTTTTCTTTTTTTTTTTTTGAGTTTGCTGAGAAAACTGCATGCTAACCTCTTCACTTGCTGCAAAAGAATGAAGACTTTTTTTCACTTGGTGGTAGATAGGACAAGAAATTTCCCTTACACCTTGTGCTGTGATGGAGGACATATAAGCTGGACATTAGAAAACCTTTCTCATAGTGAGTATAGTGAGCAGGGAGTACACTGCTTAGGGAGACTGGGGAGTTTTTAACTGAAGATACAAAATGCCTGTGTCTTCCAGGAACTGTGTCACAGTAATGCTGCTGTAGGTAGGGAAGTAAATAACAAGAGAGCACATCAGAGAGTGTAGACAGCATAGCTGCAAAAACCAGACGGTCCTTTGGGCCAAAAGATTCCTCTTCCAGTCTCAAGCTGCTGATAATCTGGCTTTGCAGTGGTCTGGGCTGCACCACTGCAGGTCTGTGCCAAACAAAGAGAAGAGGCAGGAGATGATGTTCTGTAATGAGAGAAGCTTTGCAGCTCTTTTGGAAATAAAGATAGCAGAGGTACCTGCATGCATTTATTGATGACTTCAGCCTTATTTTACTTTCCAAATAGTAACGACAGGTTGCATGTCTATCAGGGCAAGAGGATCCTCTCATCTGCTGCAATTTAAGTGCCTGGAAGCTCCTGTCTTTAGAAGAATGTCAGGTTCAGGTTTTGCATCCACAAGGAAAAGTGGAAGGATTTGCAGTCTTGACAGAACTGTCTTCCATCCTGTCCAGTCCTGTGTTTCCTTTCACAAACAGTTTTTTTTTTTGTTCACACACTACTCTGAAGGGAACATGGGCTTCTAGCAGAATCTGGATTCTACAAGAAGGCAGACTGACAAACATCTACTTACTGGCATCAGATACTGATGCTGTTGTAACTCTTGGTCATGTCTACTTTCCAGAAAGCAATCAATTCAGTGTGGTTAATTGAACTGAAATGATAAGCTGGCAAAAACTTTATGCTTGCTTAGAAATTGACTTAAGGCAGTTCAGAAGCTTCCCTGTCATTCTGTCCTTTGCACAGCCACTCAGCAGTGATTTCTCCAAAGCTCCTTGAAAAGTTTGCCTTATGAAGATTGGAATTTCCACACCAAGTTTGGAAAAACATGATTTAGTTGGATGAGGCACCAGGACATCGTACAGATGGTGTAATGGAGGTCAGCAGGACCATGTGTCTCACTGTAATTCAGACTGCTTTCTGAATGCCCTGATAGTTACAGCAGGACAGACCATGTTCCTAGAATCCAATTGCAGAGTTCTTGCAGAAGGGCAACATCACTGAAGCTGTTGCACAAGATGTGGAGAATGAGGGAGGGAGAACAGAAAGGCCTGTAGCTCTCACTGTCTGGCCACAAATAAAAGCAAAAAGGAAAAAGAAAGGTAGCCAGAACTGACAACATGTGAGGGGAATATTATCTTTTGGGAACTGCACCTGGATCAGGAAGAAGCCGAGTGCAGCTGAGCTTGATGGGTATGTGCATGTTACAGCCACAGCTCTCTGTTCAGTGAGAAAACAGTGATACAAGTTTTGTGGCCTCAGCCTCTGGCACAAAGCTACCCATAAATATGAGTAGTGTGTTCTTCTCAGGCCTGGCAGAGCAGAAAAGAATGTCAGGATGAGGACAACGATCCACCATCAGTGCAGCGAGGCTGCAGCAGAATGGGGCTGAGCTGCACTGAGCCGTGAGCAAAGCAAGGACACCCTTGGCAGCGTTACAGCTGTGTGGGAAAGGTTTTGTTATGAATTCAGTTTCCCACTGTACATAAACACTTAATTTCTCCTGCAAAAATATTTGCTGCTGGCATTTCTGACCCCTGGTTAGGAAAGACTATGGATGAACAGGTCCTGCTCAGGTCGCGCTACAGGAAACGTGATCCCAGTTTCAGCTTCTGCCTGAAATAACTACATGAGCTATGTAAACTGCTTGTTATTATAAATGAAAATACAGGAGGATTCTCACCCATGGTTATATCTAACTGCTTTCCCTACCAGACCAAAAAGGAAGATCACTGTGTCTATATTTAACACTAGATAAGGGCCAGTTAGTTGGCTCCTTTCCTCGCCTTTCGTTTTTCTCTTTTAAGGCAAATGGTGACAGATCCTTAGTATGCGTTACTTGCAAGTTGGAGGGGCAAAATCTTGCAGCAAGTGGAGTGACAGTGCAGCCAGAGAGAGGGAGAAAGGCTGAGACCTGGGTTTGTTGCATGGTTGCCTATGAAATTTTATCACTTTTTTTTATCACTGAGTGATATGCCTCAGTGATGCATTTTTAGTGTGAGCATGTCGTGACTTTGCAGAGCAAAGAAACACGTATATCCTTGCAGGCTGTCACTGTTCCCAAAGCGATTTCCTAGTGTTAGTGTCTCTTTACAAATAAAGGATAACCACGTTAGAAAACACAATTTTCTGTGATTAGAGCAATCAAATTATTTTATCAAGCTGGGATTTCTGAGATCCCCAGCTATTGGCTTCAAGGCCTGCACGCAGCTGAGGAGCTTCTGGCTGTGTCTGTGAGCCCTGACCTGGTCACATCATTCTCTGGCAGTGGACAGGGAGAAAACATTTGCATGTCTCCTTGCAAAGAACTCGCAGTACTGACCGGATCCAGCCTGAGAAGAAGCAATGGCCAAAAAGCAAAGAAACCAAACAAATAAAAATGCACGAGGGGCTAATATAAACAGCTTGTCAAGAGGGAAGTAGCTTAGAGTGCTCATGTACCAGTAAGAGCCATTACCTTCTTCCACTCTCTTCATCATGGCTTTCACCCGTAGTCAGTCACAAACCCACAGAAAAGTTGCTATGAGACCTGGACCTACAAGAATCCAGGTAGCTTTGAAAGAGATACCTAGATGTCTTTGAAGAAGGGAAGAGCCACTGATGTCTCTTATCTGGACTCCAATAAGGTCCTTGACACAGTCCCCCACAGCACCACTGCTTCCTGCTCCAGGTAACCCCATTAGTGGGATGCACTAATGGGATTGTGTGAGTATGCAGGCCTGCCTCTTACCGTAGTCATTCCCACAGAAAATGGGAAAAACACTATTCTCCTGTTCTTTGTGCAGACAGGGCACTGAGTGTGAAGGTGGAAAACACCCAGCGCTTGGGCACATCCTGCACTCCTGCCCCGGACTTACAGAAAACCCAACGTGCTGTTTAATTGGTTACAAAATTAACTCCTTCTCCCCAGCCCCCCGAAGTCTGTCTCGGGATAACAAGGTGCTTAATAACCACGATTCTCTGTCCCTTCTCTTCCTTGCCCAGCTCTGCTTTACGAAGGTTTCTGGAGGCTCTCCTACTGCCCTCTGCGGGCAGCCTCGAGGCGTGTGTCGGGAACAGAGCCTCTTACATGCCTCGGCTTCTCTCACGGCCGTATGCTGAGTCTGCTTATTAAAATAGGCACCTGGTAGCACCAGGCAAACGGTACACCTGCTTTGGCTTCCGACGTAATAAGGAGCCTAGAGAAGGCAGCTGCAAAAGTTTGCGTGGCAGAGATGGAAGAATTAGTGAAAAAAATAGGAAGGGTTGCCTTGGGGGACGCGGGTCCAGTATTCGTTTTGGTCGATGTGCTTTATTTCAGGGATTCTCTGTGATTTCAGGGTTTCGGTCAGAAGCTCTGCCCACTAACACAGCGGCAGTGCGCGGAGCCTCGGACAGCCCCGCACTGACGGCGGCAGCGGGCACCGCCGGGGCGCTGCGATCCCGCCGGGCCGGGTGGGGTTGGCGCTGCGGGGCTGCAGCACCCCCTGCAGGGCCCGGCCGCAGCACCCTGTGCCCCAGCACCACGGCCAGGTGCCGCGCGGGTTCTCTGCGCCGTTCTGCGCTCCGCGCTCCATCGTGCCCCATCGCGGACGGCGTGGCTCCTTCTGGGAGCTCCCCGCGATGTCCGCCGGGTTCCTCTTTGAAGCAAAACAGGCCGCTCCGTACAACCCCATAGCGGCCGAGCCGAGCCGTGCCTGGCACGGCCGGGCGGGGCCACAGGGGCGGGGCGGCGGGCGGGATTGGGAGAGCGGGCACCTCCCCGGGGCGGGGCGGATCTGGCACGGCACGGCTTGGCACGGCCCGACCCAGCGCAGCCCCTACCGGCTGGGTAGGGCCGGGCCGAGCCGAGCCGAGCCGAGCCAAGCCAAGCCAAGCAGAGGGAGGAAGGCGGGGGTCGTGGAAAAGGCTCCGTGCCGCTGCGCTCATCCCGGCGCGGCTCGGGAACACGGTGAGAGACTGGCACGGACTAAAGTTATCCCGGAATAAGGCTGCACGCATGTGCTGTCACCCCGGATGTGAACATGCCGGCCCGGCTCCCCACTAGCTCGCTCCGCCCGGCTGTAGCGGATGGGCCGAGCCGAGCCGTGCCGTGCCGAGCCGTGCCAGGCGCGGTGGCGGCGGCCGTACGTGGCCACCGAAGGGCCAGGACGGGCAGGAACCGTGAGAGAACGGGTGCGAGAGGCTCCTCCGGCCAACGGGCAGCCCCGAGGGGTCGGGCAGCGACCCCCGGCACGGCCCGGCACGGCCCCTCTCGGCCCGGGGCGCCGAGAGCCGGGGGGAGGGGCGAGCCCGCGGCCCCGGGAGGGATGGATTTTCGAGGGAAGAAGTACGAGCGCGGCAGCAACTGGTCGGACCCCGAGGTGGTGGAGCTGCTCCAGCTGTGGGCAGACGAGTCGGTGCAGCTGGAGCTGGAGAGCTGCCTGCGCAACCAGCACGTCTTCAACCGCATCGCCGAGGTGCTCCGTGAGAAGGGCATCCACCGCACCGGGGACCAGTGCCGCGAGAAGATCAAGAAGATGAAGCTGGAGTACCGGCGCATCAAGGACAACAGCAAGACCCCGCGGGGCGGCCGCACCTGGAAGTTCTACGACGTGATGGACCGAGTGCTCAACAACCGACCAGCACTGGCCTACGGGCCCATGGGCGGCGGTGTGATGGCCAGCCAGGTGCTGCCGGGCAGCATGGTGGATGGCTACCACCACCAGTTCGCTGCCCCTGTCCTGCCCTTCGGGCACTCCCAGCACCCCGAACTGATGGAGATCAAATGCGAGGAGGTGAATTCTGACGAGCACTGCCTGAGTCCAGAGCCCCCGGCAGCCATTTCTTACCAGCAGGGTTGCCCTGAAGAGCACGAGATAGAGAGAGCCTTCCTGGAAAGGGCCCAGAATGACTCTCCCATCTCCAGGGTGGAGATCCCCATTGAAACCAGTGTTTCACCTTCAGGTAGGGATAGACTTCTGCATTCCAGCATAGGGTTGCTGCCTTATTTCCCAGAAAGATAGGGTTTTGTTCTGGTGCACAGAAAGACATGGTTTTTTTGCACTGATCCTTGTTTTTCGTGCCCCAAAAAGCTTTAAAGTAGAAGGCTGGTAACAACATTAATTGTCTTTTGGCAGTTCCTGACACGTGTCTTGGCGCAGGTAAATAAAATCTAAAATTACTGCTCTAGGCTAAATACTGCATATGAATTCCAAAGGACTGGAGCATCTACTCTGAGCTGGGATAGGCATTTGTGCTAGATCTCTCTGTGTAATGCAGACAGTACATGTGTTATTAAAAAAAAAAAAAAAACAAAAGAAAAATTATAAGCTTTTTGGTATTGACTGAATGCGACATGGGCTGTCTGCAGTCCTCATGCTGAATTGTATCAGGAGAACCTCTTCTTCCATTGCAACCTGTAAACCTGCAAGTGAAACTTCTCTTATATTCTACTTGAATGTTTTCTGCATCTCATCTTTTAGGATAGTCAGCAACAGAGAATGCTTGGGAATAATCGTTGCTTGGCTTCCTAATCTGCTAATTAGCACTTGGAAAGAAGACACTTTGGGAAATCACTGGTAGAAACAGCTGATCTGTTTACAGGAGATGAGAGCTCTGTGCTGGGAGTACATTTGGCCGTTATTTGGGTGCACAGAAAGATAGACTGTAGAGATTGTGGTGATTTCCAACCAGTCTAGGATAGGTTGATGGAAGAGTACAGCCTTCTTGGGAAGAAGAGAAGTGATAGTCAGTCTGAGGCTCATTTTTGAGATCAGGAAGAACAGCTACGGTGATCTTAACCAAACTTTGTTTAAGGTCCCTTCCAACCCAAGTCATTCTCAGCTATGTCTTCCTCACTATGGTGAGTGCGTGGGTATCCAAGGGCAGGATCCTTGAATTAACCCCAATAGTGATCACTGGGGTTAATTCAGAAAGCAAGTGAGAGCCAGATCAGTGGCTTGCAGCACAGTGGTGAGCCTGCCATGTGAAGTCAAAGATGGCAAACAAAGTCACAAACTCCAAGATGTACTTGACTGATTTCACTGTTTTCCTAAAGATGCTGCTGTGGTGTGTTCTAGGTCAGGTAGTGGGAAGCAGCAAAGCACATCCACACCATTTAACTTGCCTCGTGTTTCATTTTTTCCCGCTTTCACACAACCACAGGTTTCAGTGAGCCCAGCATGGCCAACTCATCCCGGATGCAGAACGCAGTTCCTCGGCCCAGCTTCTCCGCCTTGCACCGCCTGCGGAAGAAGCGGAAAGGCCAGCGCGTGAAGGACCCACTCGACGACCTCCTGCTGAAGACTCTGACGTCACAGCGGGCCATGGAGGAGCGTTTCTTGCAGATGGAGGAGCGGCGGTTCCAGCGGGACCTGGACGTGGAGGAGCGGCGGATGCAGCTGGAGCAGCGGCGCTTTGAGCTGGAGCGGGAGCACGAGTTCCGCATGTTCAACGTTTTCGCCCAGATGCTCAGCATCCTGAAGCGGAGCCACGGCGGCGCATCCCCTTCCCCGGCAGTGCCTCGAGGCCTGGACTTCAGCCAAATGCTGTCGGAACTGACGGGCCGGGTGGGAGGAGGCGACCAGCAGGGGCCGAGGGCCGGAGGGCTGGCCGCGAGCCGGGGTGACATAAGTGGCTTTTGCCCTCCGGAGGGGTTCCGGCGCAGCCCGTATCTCTCCGCTCGCGGTAACGTCGCCAACATCTTCCGGGGCTCTGACGACGAGGGGTACAAAGCGTACCACGCTGACAAGTATGATGAAGACACGAACCCCAACGTGAGTGAGTCTCTTAACTACCGCTCGCCACTTTTTCTGCCCGTTGCAGCTCCGCTGCTCGGTACGCAGCTCCTCGCACACCCCCTGGCGGCACAGAGGCTGAATGTTAATGTTCGGTACTGAATGAGTAACGAATATACAGTGAATGGAAATCGTGATTTATCTGGGGATTACTTTTAAACAGATCCAGCATTCCATTCTGAACAACTTGAAAATGTCAAGATGTTTTATTCTGACCCCTAACTGCAGTCATGGTGTGTGTGGGGGAGGAGGTGCAAACCAGATTAAGATCCAAAAGCACAGTAATTATTTGATAAGAGATGTGTTATGAGGCACAAACTGCTAGCTCTTCTACTGACTTCTACTAACGATGTGAAAAGCAGATAAACACCTAAATTTGGACTCGACTTTTAGTAGAGCCATTCATGTTCGATTGTTTAATCTTCATTTTATGTACATTTTTAATTTGTTTATCCAGCTTCTTCCAGTGTTGAGCATGTGCTGGTTTACTGGAGTTCTTCAGCACCCAATGCCATATTAAATAAGCAGAGCCAGACCCTGGCCCTGCAATCGCAGAATTGCTTCTCCAGAGGGGAAAACTTAATGTTTTAACCACTCTTCATGACTGTGTGCTATGTGACATTTGAAAGAGTGAGTGGAGTGGAACAGGACTGATAAACAACTAAATTTAGGTGAAGAAATGTTTCAAAAACATTTCTTTAAACCACTGCAGAAGCATAAACCTCAGTTTTCTCAGAACTGTTTCACATGTATTTGCAGTTAGATGCACACTGATGAGTGAATTCAAGAATAAGTTAAACATTCTGTAAAGAAGAATGAACTGTTAGTACTTACCCATTTGTAGAAAGCTTATTGCCTGAGAGCTGGAGTGTCTAAGATAAGTCTGTGAGCACACACCTGCATATAAACCTCTCTAATTATATACTATTTCATGAACTGTGCTGTGACTTTTCCTTGGTAGGCTTTCTGGGGGCAATTCAGTGGAATGATAGCTAAGATGGTGTACATACACGTTGATTTTGTGTGTGTGCGTCCATAAATGACACGCTGTTTCTTTTTCTAGGGTATAATTAATTTTGGCACCAGTGAGAATAAGCTCTGCTTTGACCTGATGTCCAAACGGGTAAGTCCTGTTCCTAAGAGGAATACCAAATACAGTATGTGGTTTCTCCTTGATGTCTTTCCTAGGGTTATTGCTGCTATTGAGATTTCTCTGATAAAATTTTTCCTCATGAATTTCTTACTATTGAAAGCCACTTCTGAATCCAGCTATTTGTACACTTATTGATGTTGTTTTCCCAGGAGAACAGAAAACAGGGAGTTTTCTGTTCCCTTTCATTGCGTTTCCCTGGAGGGGTGTACTTGGCTCATTGAGATATTTAAGACAGTACTTAAATGAAGATAGGGTGCATTTCATTTTCTCCAACTGACAGTATTTTATTTAATACGGAGATAACTATTTCAGACTCTGCTTAATTTCAAGAATCTTCACAGCTTGGGGCAGAGGACGTTGATTCTGTCCATTGTGAAGGTACACAGTTTGAGCACCCAGTTTGCAACTCAGCTAAAGTTTGAGAGGATGGCAGCAGCAGATGTGATATCTCATGATATCTCTTGAAATTGTACTGTGGAGCTGCTACTTGGACGCTTTGTTCAGTTCCATGAAATAAATGGCATAACTCATTAAGAAAAAAGGCAAAAGACAACAGCAGAGCTGTGCCTTCCCGGGCTGTTTCTTGATTTTTCATTAAGATTATTGCTCAGATTCAGCCCCCTAGATGAGAAGGCTGCCATTTTCCTTGCTGCAGCTGCCTGAGGGGGGGAAGGTAGCCGAGTGTCTGACAGTTGGTCTCTGCAGCTTGAAACTCACTGTTACTCCCATTCCACCAATTCCCACCCTCAAAATGTTCCTTTTATTCCTTCCCCCCACACCACTGACTTGGGGATGCTACCCCACCGCTCGGCCTTCCAGCTAAAGGAACAGGTAAGGCAGAGCTGCTGCCTGGTGGCTGTGCTCTTAGAAGGTGCCCTATGGGCTGTGTAGGTTGTGCCTTCCTTCCTTCCTTCACCATCCTTTCCCTAAACTAACACAGTGTCTGCAGCAAGTAGTGCAGAGGGAGACAGTAGCAAGTCTTGTCTTCATTAGCCTTGTTGTGGAAATGAGCTGTAGCGTGATGAGCTGTCATGCACGTGGCAAGAAGTTACTGCTTCCAGTTTCTTCATCACAGCCCAGAGTTACAGAAAGGGTTCACTGAGTGCAGCATCAGCTGAGATTGTAAGAAGAAATAACTTGTTGCTCTTGGGGACAGTAAGTACTCAGTTTCCACAGAGTAAAGTAATGTATTTGATTTCTGCCTTCAACTTTTGGCCCTTAAATTGGCTAACAGTCTGTGGTATGAGATCTCAGATAATCTTCATTTTGATCCCATCTGGCCCTTAGTCCTTAGACAATTATCCTTAAGGGTTCTCCTCTTCATTACTGCACGGACATTTTTGGCCAAGTCTGCTGATAGTTTTGTGTTGCATTATCTAGATAAGTTTAGGAGGGAGGTCTAAGGAGAAGTAGTTCTGTGTTACACAGGTATCAAGAACATCTGCAGGTGAATGAAAGAACTTTAATCTCATATGTCAGGTTGCAGTTCCGCATGGGATGGGATGAGGACAGTGTCTTTGAATACTAGAGCTTAGCACAAGTTATTAGAATGCTGTGGATTTGTTATTATGTGGTAGACTGCATGTTAAATATCCCTCCCCTTTTGCACCATCACTTACTTGTCATGTCCTTTTAGTATTAACTCACAGACTTGGTAGTTATCAAATATTTGCAAGGTACATTGTACATAACATTTGTCTGTTCCCTTTTTGTTCACATAAAATGTCCTCTTCTCTATTCCCTGATCATGACTGCGCTTTCTCTTGCAACGTCATAGAACTGGATTATGTGAAACCCTGAAAATTACAATCCTGAAAATGTTTAGATAAAAGCAATGTGCATACTTTATCTAAACATAAATATAAAAAGGGGCTGTGGAGCTTTCACACAGTTTGGGTGATTCTGACTTTAAGAACAAAATGAACTATTTGGCATCCTTTTTGTAGATCTCTGTGCAGTGAAGTTCTGGCTACAATAATTTGGCAGAAGCCCCCACTTCCTATAAGCTGAAGTTATCACTGGTCAGCTTGCTGTTCTTTGCCCCTCTGAGCTGCTTTAATTCTGATGGCCAGTGGTTTTCTCAATCCAGTTTTAAGGCTTTGAAGTGTTGTGTGTGCATGTCCATGCAGAAGTGTGCCTGCCCCTGGGTTCTGTCTCTCTTTGTTTCCAAAACTGGTGACTGAGCTTTTAATGTGTCTTCCTGTTGCTCACAGCTGACACAGACCGATATGAACCTCATGGAGCCGCTGCTGCTTCAGTATCCTGACTGGAAGGGACACATGTTGTAAGTCCTCTCATTTCTGTAATGCTTCTCTGTTTGAGCACTTGCCTGAAAACAGAATGGATGAGTATGAACTGCTTCTCTTACATAGTAGTTAAAACTTCTTCCAGGTCATAGAATCATATTTTTATTTTCAAAACAGTAACAGTCATCCAACTTAAAATCCTTTGAAAATCCAGTTTAAAATCATTTTATGTAAGAGAAGATGCTAATTTTCTATACATTAATAGATGAGCTAACTCAGGAAAGTTCCTTGAAGCCCTGTTAACATCGAGGACTTTAATCCTTCGGTTCTCTTTAATGCTCTTCAGAAATGTCTGTGCAGCCATAGCCATTGTCCGTGACACCTTTGCCATGTGTAGCAGTCACATCTGTGACATGGGCTGTCTGCATCAGACTTTAATGTGCCCTGGCTTTATTTTCCTGAGATGTGGACCTGGGGAAGCCCAGCCTCTTGGAGAATAAGCTGAATCAATATTTGCTTTTGTGTCTTTCTCAGTTTACGGGAGGAAGTGGCTCGATTTTTGACCTATTACTGCAAGGCCCCTGCACCTCTTAAGGCAGAAAATGTGGGTAACCCACTTTCCGTTGGTGTATATTCTAATGTATTGCCATTTGTTATCAAACAATTTCATTTTATTTTTTAAACAAATGATTTTGTAGAATGAAGCCTTTTATCATGTAAATGAGATTGGATCATAGCCATTTTAGTTGCTTTTGATGCACACATCAGCCAAAACATTTCAGTTCTACTGCGTATTTGCCTTATTCTGTACTTCTATGTGCCAGCTCCTCATTCCATTGCTCCCAGTGAGGCTTTGTGTTTTTATCTCCCCGTTCAGCTCTGGGACCTTCTGCGCTCATGTCCCTCAGCCTTGACAAAGAGTGCCCATTGTTTCTGATGACTTTACTTTCATACTATTCTGCTGTTGCATCTCAGGGCAAAATCTGTCATTGAGCCAATGGTAGTTTCACCTGGCAAGAACAGATATTTTCAGAACTTGTGATGGTGTTATAAGGAAGGTGTCAACACCTGAGTCTTTGCAGGACTTTCTGATTTGGGAGGGGTGCAGGCTGGGCTTTGTGCATGCATGAGTCCTGCTTTAGCTGGGTGCTAGAGGCAGCAGGATCCAGTACTATTGCTGCTCTTCTGACTGCAGTAACTCAGCAGAAACTGTTGTCTCACATAAACTGAAGTCATCACTGATCAGTTTGCTGGCAGCAGATTCTACCTGACGCTTGGATTGAAACTCCTGGGGCCTCTGTGCATCAGTCTTCTAGAAACAGGAGACAGACTTGCTTCTCTGCTTCTGTTTATGCTATTGCACAAATTCGGTGGGAGGTAGGAGCTGCTATTATCACAAAGAGAAGATAACACATAATAAAAAGGCAACGGGACAAAGTATCATGAAACAGAGTCCAGGATTAATGTTGTTTCTGATAGAAGTGAGATGTCAGCAGGAAAGTTCTGGGAACATCCATGCTTGAGTATTAGGGAGAAAATATATTTTGTTGGTTTTGTCAGAAATGTTGCGGTGGTGTTTCTATGGACATACTTATCACTAGCCTCTCCCTTTCTTCTCTAGGTGATCGTTCTGAACGGTTGTGGCTCTTTGTTTTCTGCATTAGCTACAGTCCTGTGTGATCCAGGGGGTAAGTGGTTTGCTGGAAAATATCTTTAATGTTTTTTTTTGTTATTTTTGCTTGGAAATTAATGTGTTACTTAGTTTAAATACTGTTTTGTGGAGGTGAAGTAGTGTGGAATTAGCACTGATCTACTGAAATGTGGACTACGCTTATGGTTACTTGGAATACTGAGGGTGGGTGTACAGTGTCCCAGTTTTTGCAGAAGATTGTAGAATTGATATAGAAAGAAATTGGAGAAAAGAATAGTAACATTAAAATATTTGCAAAATGCATAACTGTAAAAAAGCTTTTCATGCTCAACTGAAGTCCGTTAGAGGAGAAGGAAGGACAGCAATCTGTTGCTAACAAGTTTTGTTGTCTTGGTTCCAGAAGCTGTTCTGATTGCTACTCCTTTTTATGGTAGCATCACCCAGAGCGTCTTCCTGTATGGCAACGTCAAGCTGGTGTATGCCTATTTAGACAGCAAGGTAAGAGTTGAGGAATGGGAATAGCGACCTCCGCAGTTAAAAAAACAATTGGCACAGGAAAGTGCCAAGCTCTGGGGACTCAAAACAAGGCCAGGCAGCAGCCTGTGGTTTCATTTATGGTTGGGGAACCGGACACATTGTTTTCAAGAAACTTGTTGAAGGCCATACATCTAGTTTCCAGTCTTGTCCTTTTCTTGTGTCTTGTCCCTATAAATATCTAATAATGACTCCTGGTGGGGAAAAATGACCATTTTGGTGTCAGACATATGTATTGTCCTATAGGAGATGGTCTGTCCCAGAGGTGTAAGAACGCATGGCTATCTGACATTGCTTTAGACATTAAGGATACCCAGAGAATTCTCTGAATGTGACCAGTCTATGGTGAAAATTTCTTTGATTTTATGTATTTATTCTCTCTGTAGTATAAAAGGATAAAGGGATGGATGCCAGTCATTATTGTTGGGTTTTTATTTTGTTTTGTGTGAAATGACTCGAGACAGATTGTTGAAATAATTTGGCCTTTTTAATTTTATCTTTGTGGTGTGTTTCAGATTACTGGAACAAGCACTCGGCCGTTCCAGCTTACTGTGGAAAAACTGGAAAAGGCCTTGCAGGATGCCCAGGCAGAGGTGAGCATAGATGAGCTTCACCTTACTGGTCAAGGCTACAGTATGTTTGAGATGGCTGGTCTCAGATGTGACCTGAAGAGCAAAACATTTTCAAAACCTAGCACCTGGCTTTCTCACAGTCCTTATAGACCTGAAGTCAGGCTGCTTGCAAATCCTGCCTGCTGTTGTGGAAGAATATTCAGCAGCACTTCCTGGAGGAATCCCACTGTATCATGCACACCTGGGCATGCACTAAAATGTAGGGTCTTTGCAGGGTTTTTCCTTCAGGAGTGCCAGCTGGGTTACCCAAAATGGACTTTTCTACTCAGCAGTGCAGATTTATCCACTAAGAACAGCACGAATTGCAGGAGGTAGTGAGGGGCAAATCTAGAAGGTAAATACAGATGTGTGCTACATGGCTGAATATTTAGTCTGTAAGTTTTGAGATTATCCTAAACTCAGTGTATGTTCAGCTTCATCTTTAGATCATTAGTGACGCCAGCCACTTGTGCTCTATCTATGAGCAATTCCTATCCATGTACCTCAAATTGCTATTTTTCTTGCCTTATTAATGGGCAATCTTCAGTAATCTGCTACTTAACAATGCTGATACAGATCAGAGAGAATTCTCTTCTGTGCTGAGAATATGAGAAGGCACATTCTCATATGATTGCAGACTCACCATTTTCAAACTCACAGATTCATTCTATAATATTTTCCTCAGTTTATTTTGTAAGCGCCATCATTATAAAAATGTCATTTGTGCCTTCAACTTTTTCATACAAATCTCACTTTTGAGGTGAAATGTCATAGTAGAGGCTGAAGGGGAGTCTTGTGATATGCTCACTGCGCCTTGGAGAGACTGAAAGTTTATCCCATGGTGAACGCTCTCTTCCTGTCCTGTTGTTCTGCAGGGTGTAACTGTAAGGGCCTTAATTCTTCTGAATCCCCAGAATCCCCTTGGGGATGTCTACTCCTTGTCAGAGCTACGGGATTACCTGGAATTTGCTAAAAGGTATGCCAGTTTGGAAGGCTGAGATACCAGAGGCAGAGATGGCTTTCAGAGCCTGGTGGTCGACTTGCTGTACCTTAATTTATCTGTGAATATCTTCTCAGTCAGGCAAAAAAAAACAAAACACCTGTTCTCCTCAAATAGAGAGGAGAGTGGGCTGGTGGGGAGAAGGGAGTGCAGACCATCCAGTCAGCTGGACGGACAAGGCGACTTGCATCAAGGAATACTAGCAGTTTTACTGACAGTCCTAGCAAATGCTGTGGTGCAATTTGGTAGGAAACTGACCTTCTTTCCTCACATTTTCTCTGTATGTGCAGAGAATAAGAAATAGTTGAATATGGCTGCCCATCTTCACCACTGGATGCTCTCTGCAATTTGGCCAATTCTGAATGGACAACAACACAATGTAGTTTAGAGGGGTTGTACATATAGGAGTTAATTTTCACAAGTACATTGGAAATGACTGAAATTTTGTCCCATTATACAGTTGCAGTGGGTGACAATTATCTGGATATATCTCCAATCAAGTTCAGTGTAATAGTTCAATATAATAGACCTTCTGAGTTGTGAAAAAATACTCTGTGTTGCAGAATTTGATGTATAAAGGTAGCCTTTGCAGGGTTCTGAATTTCTCTTCGCTTCTCAGCCAGAGAATTCTTTTCTAACTTCCATTTTGTCCTTTTGCAGACACGAATTGCATGTGATAGTAGATGAGATCTACATGCTGTCAGTTTTTGATGAATCAGCCACGTTTCACAGTGTCCTGGGCATGGACAGGTAAAACCAGCTCCTACTTCCCTGGCCATCTTCCAGTGACAATTCAACATGATGCCTTGCTGAGAACTTGTGACTGGAAGTTAAGTCATGAGCTAGCGAATTCTGAATCTGCCTTATATCGTGGGCTTCTTTTTGTGTTTTTTATTTTCATAATTTCTGAATGGCAAATGCGTTTTTTTCAAGTGCAGGGAAAATTCTAGCAAGAAAAAGGTGGGTTAATTTTCTGTTATGGTACGTTTTGGTTTGTTGTTTTGTTTTTTTTTTAGTGTGTGCTTTCATATTCACTTGTGACAGTCCCCAAAAAACTGGAAATGGATGTTTCATTCCTTGAAAGTGAGGCTTTTTCTTTCCTACCCCAGTATTGCTATGTCTTTCTCTTATTTCTGTTGATGACTGTAAAGACCTTCTGTTGCTGTTTACATTCTGTTTTCGTACAGTAGTGACTGATCACAGTGTTATTAGAGGTTTGAGAATGGGTTTTATTAGGTATTAATGATGATTCTTGTGTGTCCCTTCCAACTCGGGATATTCTGTGACTATGAATATCCTTCTTCAAGGTATTATTGTTTGAAAGAAAGAAAATTACTTCAAAATCTTAGAAAATGTATCAATTTTTAGTATTACATTTGCAAACTGTATGTGCAGGAAATCTGTGCAAAAAATACGCACTTAACGTGAGTATTTGAAGTACTTACATCTGAAATACTTAAAAATGGTGTCTAAAATTAGTTCCTGGGAGTTCCTTACTTCTGAGGGCAGGTTGGATTTGGATTTTCCCTGCTTGATTGATGATCTGTGCTCCACTGCCGCTGTGTAATGCTGCCTCTCTATTTTTGCAATGCTGCACTGGTGATCCAAAACTTCAGCACCCATGACACTAATTGCCCATCTGCATCCTTCTACATACAGATTGCCTGATCCACAGAGGACTCACGTGATGTGGGGAATAAGTAAGGTGAGTGCCAGTTGCTGCTGTGCTTTGGCTTCCTCACTGCTGTCCTCAGGCTCCTTGGGTTATAAGGAAGAAAATAGTGTTAGTAGGAACCCATTCCTACTTGAACTTCCTGTTCAGTACAGTAGTCTCTATGTGTCTTCCGCAGGATTTTGCTGTCTCTGGGATTCGTTTTGGTACTTTGTATACAGAGAACCAAGATGTTGCTAATGCAGTGGCTTCTTTGTGTTATTTCCATGGGGTCTGTGGACCAGTCCAGCACAAAGTTGCACAGCTACTTAGGGACAGAGGTGAGTTGGTAGCTAATGTAGGATCCTCATGCCGTCCTGTTATCTCAGTACTTCAGGAGATTCAGTCCCTTTACTTTCCCAATGCTCTCTTATTTGTGTGCTCAGCAGCCATCCATTATCCTGAAGCTGCCTCTGTAAGCTGTGGCTGGCAGTTCAACAACAGAGGAACTCTCAGCAGAGTTCTTCATCAGCGGATATGGAAGAGCAGCTCTGAAGAAGTGTGATAGCTATATGTGTGAAAGCAGCAGATGTTGTACAGAGCGGGGAACTCAACCTTCTATGAAGAGGAAAATGGGAGGGGACTTTCTAGCTTTGTCGTGGTCTTGGGGTGCTAGCGCTCCAGCCATGAGCTCAGCAGAGTGGTAAAGAAGATACGTACATGCATGAAACTGCTACAGAGTTCTTGTCTCCATTTCTGCTTTTTGAGCAAACAAAAAAGGAGTTGCAAAAGGTTGAAATGTAAAAAGGCCCTGTGACTGTTTCAGAAACCTTAGTCAATTTGTGATTGTTATCCTTAGTCACTTTGTGATTAATTTTTTTTTAATCTCCTGGCTAGAATGGATCAACCAGGTATACCTGAGAGCCAACCATGCCCGCCTGAAAGCTGCCCATACGTATGTGACAGATGAGCTGAAGACACTTGGGGTTCCTTTCCTCAACCGTAATGCAGGCTTCTTTGTCTGGATTGATTTCCGAAAGGTTGGTACTGTTAGGAAAGGAGGCTTCTCCTGGGTTGAGGGCAGCCTCATGGTGCAGCTTTGTCCAGGGGAAAGTTCAATATTGTGATAAGCTTTTTGTTAAAGCCCCATCTGTTGTCTGATGAGCAGAAGGACGGGCGGCCTGGTATTTCTCTGCATGCTTTTCCTTTTCTTCTGCCTGTACATTTCCCTCCTTGCAGGAATCTTACTGCTCTCAAGCCACTCTCCTTTCCATTTCTTTCTTTTTATCACAACTGCTGTATTTCAGAGGTAAAAGGTGTCTCCCCTAGACTTCGCAGACCTCATGGGAATCACAGATTGATGAGGGTCTCTGTGAATTAGCCTATAGGTGACTAACCTCTGGCCCTTCTGGTGACTCTCCTAGTACCTTAGGACAGGAACATTTGAGGAGGAGATGCTGCTCTGGAGGCGTTTTCTTGATAACAAGGTCCTCCTGTCGTGTGGCAAAGCCTTTGAGTGCAGTGAACCTGGATGGTTCCGCATCATCTTTGCTGACAAGACCCACCGGCTACAGCTGGGTGAGTGATGCTTTCTTTTGTTTTTCCTTCCACTAGAGAATCTGCAGCACCATTTCCTCCTCTCCTTAGTCCTAAACTACCCTATAATTATTATCCTCTTGTCTTTCCACTTTTTCTCCCTTCGATTCTCCCAATTTTTCTGGATCTGATAGAAATTTGGAGACCCTTGTATCTTAGACTTACCCACTAATGTTTCCCTTCCTTTTACCATTGCAGGTATGCAGCGGATCCGCAAGGTTTTGGAAGAACGAGAGCAGGAGATAATGTCTGAGGAAAAGGAGCAGCCTTGTCAGTCAGATCAGGATGGCAAAGCAGATAGCACAGATGAAGTCATTTTCGTATCCCGCCACCAGGAATCTTCCTGTGCTGGTAGTTCCAATCTCAGTGACCTTATTGGCCTCCTGCAGCAGCAGATGCGTTCATCTGATTGGCTACAGAAAAATACAGCAGAACAGCTTGCATAGAAAAAGCCAGAGATGTACAGCATGTTCAACAAACTCATGGGAAAGCAGTAGGGGCCAGTGTACCTTTAGGCATGTTCTTGAGCACTAATGGCCCTGGGCCCCTAACAGCAGCTCAGCATTGACTTCCAGCAAATAATATATTTTCTGTATAGCAAGAAAATCACTTTGTAAAACCCCTCCTCTACCCCACTTGATGTCTCTGATTTGTATTATATAGGTGATTTCCTTGGATTGGGGTGAGGGTAGGGAATGATGGGGGTTTTGTTCACCTGCTGCCCCTCATCCTGCTGCATCATTGTATTTTGTATTTCATTTCTAATGAATATGCTCTTAACTCTCTTATAAGGTCCTGTGGTGTTGTGGTGTCGTTTTTTTTACACTTCTCTTTTCACTCTTTCTGGGAAAGTGGAGGTTTGAGACTGAGATTAAAATGCGTAAGGTTTCCATTTTCCTTACTGACATTCAGAAATAATTATTTCAGTGCCAGAGTATGGTTGCTTTCACAAAGAGATGTTTTTGGGAGATAAAATGTCATTTCTAAGGCAGCCTCAGCTATGGGTAAATAAGCTTGTGTACCTGGCCATCTCTGTGGATGAGGCTCTTAGAGCACGATCATTTAGTTTGAATTCTGTAAAGCTTTTTCATTTTGAGTTGGTTTCCATTCTATTCTCAGGTCAGACAGTCTCTAACCCCCTTGGCTGGTAAAATGCCTGTTTTTGTTCTTGTCCTTCACTTTGTATAAATAAAAAGAGCCCATTGGCTTCTTAGCCCACTATGTCCACAAAAGAACTAAGAGTGGAGAGATGATGGAAAGACAATATTCTCTCTGCAGCCTCTCAACTCCTGAGATCATCCCTTCTGGTTACCAGTGAGATTATTCACAGGACACTATTGAGAATGTTCCTTATACCTCTGTGTTAGATGTGCCTACTTGATGCCCACAGGCTTTCAAGGTGGCATCTCCCGCTGTTACCTGAACTACTAAGTCTATCATTTGGCAAAGTAGCCTTCTTGACTAAACTGTATTCTCTGGTCTCCTGTCCTTCCTCTGTTTTCCATTTTGAAGGACACTGTATGATGATGACAAAGAACTTTTGTTGGAAAGCTTCTTTCTCAGATGCAGAAATGTTTAGTTTCTTGAATGTTACTTTTATTGATATCTTAAAGGAAGTTTTTTTTCTGCATACTTATTAATTTAGAGTTAAAGGAAATGGTCCATAAAAGGTGAATGGAAGCGCATGACTCCTCCTGTGACTTGGCAGTACCAAGTTATATCTTGGTAGCATTATGGAGTCTGAATATAATGAGTTAGAGAGGTGAAAGACAAAATTCAGAGTAAAAATAATTCAAGTTGTTCTTTGGTCCAGTCTTCAAGGAAAAGAGCTTTCCTTTTACAATTATTTTGTGAGATAGTGTGTCAGTGATCAACTATTCTATGGTTCTGTTGATTTTATTCTTGGTTTGGTTTGGGCAGAAAGACACGTAACAAGTGACAAAAGCATGTGTCTGTATCATAATTTGAATTACCACAGCATAGGTAGCAAATAAGTGCTGCAGCTGCACTTTGGTGATGTGTCTATGGGGAAAGTGAGGGGTTGAGGAGCAAGCAGTGCTGTGGGTAGAGGGACTGCTCTATCTCCAACAACAGTGAGGGGAGGCAAGGGTAGTGGAGAGATGGAATCATCGTATTTGCTTAGTAGTGTTACACTTCCATGTAAAATGGTTCTAAGCACACTCTGAGGTTATTGTCATTTATTTTGCATTTGCATTTGACTGTCCATAGAGAAAGATATAGCACATAGCAGCTTTCCTTACACGAGTGGGAGGTGAGACGTGCAGCCAAAATGCAAATGGACTTACTGACTTGCCCCCTTTTTTATCCCGTGGAGGATCTGGGCAACAAAAACGTACAGAGAAAGCTCTTTGAAATGACAAAGGCAGACTGTGCGGCCATTTGCTGAAACTGCATTTTAGAGGACTCTTAGGACAAATTCAAACTATTAATTGCCCCCTCCTTTCTTTTCATTAGACTTTCCGCTCATCCCAATGGTTGGAGTGTATTGCTATACAGCATTCACTTAGATGTAGAGTTTTACTGTTCAGAAAGTGGATTTTTTGTACTGTCCATGTGGAAAAGACTAGTAAAACACACCTCTCTGCAGTGCAGAGGCTGCAGTACATTTTCAAGATTCTCACAGCTATCATAATGCAGTGAAAAGCCACTTCTATCTGAGCTTACGGCAACTAAAATTAGCAGGGGAGATGAATATTTTGTTGCTTGGACTGTTTTTCATGTTTTTTTTTTTAGGTTTCAGTCATCCCAATAGCTGGCTGCTGCTTGCTACCTGAATGCCCTGCCAGGATGGCTGCTGCTCCAGGGAGCTGCAGCAGGGCTCCTCTGAGTAAGAGCTCCTTGGTCACTGTTTCCTTCCCTCTGCTGCCTCCCCACAAGATATGTGCTGTGCACGCTATTGCTCCTTAGCATCAGTAGCAGTTTTTTGTTTCTTTTCTGCATGGCAGAAGTAAGTAAATAAATACATACAGAAATGTGTAAGGGCTGAATGCCCCCTGCATTTCTTTTTCCAGCAATAGGCAAACAGAGCAGTATCTGAAATGATAAAGCTGCTCAGAGCTACATTAAAATAAATAAATAAAGCAACATTTAATATAAAACATGCAAGGCCATCATGTTGAGTATAACACATTGAGATGAGTATAAGCCTTCATGTTTATATCCACTGTAATTCTAATAAGTGATAAAATTGCCTTTGCTTATAATTTCTGTTTTCCTGTTTTCACTCATTTGAGCAGAGAAAGGATGCTGGATGGTTTCTGGCCTTTGCCAAGAGCAGTTCCAGCCTCTCAGCCCCTCTCCCAGCACATTTATCCCACGGGGATGTTTAGAATTTTCCAGCTAAGTAATTTCCTGCACAGTACACCTTTCTGCCATTGGCAGGATTATATTTCATCGGAAAGATAGTGAAAAAAACCTTCTTCATGGAGTAAGCTGTGTGAATCCCTCCCCAGCCATATCTGCATCTGAAGTATTGAGCATGCAAACAAATCCAGCTGCTTTTATACGTGCAGCCATTTTAGTGAGAGAGGCTCCCATAAGAGAGGATTGGTTTGGAATTCTTCCGGAGGCAATTCAGGCCACACTGTGAAGCACAAGGTAGCTTACGAGGATATGTACAGAAACACACGTATCCTGTTGGAGAAGCTCGGAGGAGCAAGGTGTGCTCATTCTTCACTCCAATTAATTCTGTGCAGCTTACATAAAACCAGCAACTGGCCAGCGACAAATGCACTTCACTCAGAGGTGGTTATAAATACTCTGTCTTTTGTCCTCGCTTTGCCAGGACTGGTTATTTTTAGCAGTGAGCCAGTCGACCTTATCAAAATGGGGAATCAAAAATAGTCTGGAAAAACACCGTGAGGAAATGCTGTTTTTAGCAGCTCTGTCCCCTGGGCGCTGCCGGTCAGTGAGGTGCGAGCAGGCAGGCAGCGTGATGCAGGGAGTGCTGCTCGGTGAAGCATGAATGCCTCCGCACGGCATGACATCTCAGGGCTCTGGGGACAGGGAAGCACAAGGAGAGCATCCCTATCCATGCGCTTCTGTCACAGCAGGGTTTCTTTGCAGGGAACGCTTGCTTGAACAAACCTCCTCATGTCTCGCGTCCTGCTGCAGGAGCTGTAGCAGCAGATTGCTGGAGTCTCTTCACGTTTCCTTCTCCTTTCGGTTTGGGAAGGCTGGACCTCAGGTTACAGAGGTTGGCATGTTACAAGCTGCTCAGTGCTACCGGGCACAGCACAGCCCCATTGGAGGTATACGATGGCTCAGGAGGCTGCAGCTGTGCGGGTGGATGCTGGATGCAGATATTGCTCAGCCCAGGCATCAGCTGAATGCCGTCACTGAGCTCATTGTTCAGTTCTGACATAAGCTGAAAGGGAATGCTCTGGCTGGTACAAAATCCTGCTTTTTCTTACGCCAGAGCCAAATTGCTTCATTCATCCCAGGTCCTTGATTCCTTGTTGTAGCCGTTAGTGAGTGTTTCAGAAATGAAGTATGAGCTATGGCTTACTTATGCTATGCCATAGAATGAAAGCAAAGATGGAAAAGATGTCCCCAAGACACTGAGTTTCATATTTCCCTTTTAGCACAATCTTTTATTGAAAAGGGTTTTTCAGAGCATGATGCTTCCAGCGCTGGCTGCACCAGGTACCTCGCAGCCTCTCCTGCAGCTGCCTTGAGTGAAAGGAGACCCAGCACAAAAGGCTCTGCAGCCATTTCTTTCTGTCCTAGCAGAAAACCCGTGGGGCTGTGTGACAGACAGTGAATGTATGGCATGATGGAAAAGCACTCAGCAACAAATCCCCACATGACCTCAGGAGGGTCAGATAAGGTGAGACAGAAGAGGGCAAAGCAAGTGAGGTAAAATACCCCACCTCTCTTCTACATTTATAAAAATTGATAGCCTGTTACCCAAGATGCTGATGGATATTTTTACCGGATATAAATGGCAACACAGTCTAAAAATAGTGCCGTGCTGCAGACTTGTCTGGCTGAGCAGCATCACCAGCATACGAATGGGCTCCCTGAGGTAGACAGACTACATCCTCCATTTTTTCTTGCTGTTTGGATAGAAAAAAAAGCTGATGCTGTTCAATCTAAGCTCTCAATAAAATGGCACTAGCACCCAAATTTTCCTGTAGTGCTGAACCTCCTTGCATGTCAAGATGTCCCCTGGCACAGGGAGGAATGGGCTGCAGCACACAGCCCAGGGGGCCGGCACCATGCCAGCATGTGTCTGGGCTGCAGCAAGTGCTTCTGGGCTGCCATTTTGAGTGAGTGGGCAAAGGGCCCCAGCAGGCTGCACTAGGGGTGAGGGGAAGGCCTGGATGTGGTTCTGCCAGGGGCTTTCCCCATGGCTCTGGGGTGACAGGGTCTCAAGGGGGGTCATGCATGGGTATATAGCAGCACTGACACGTTTTTGGCAAAGGGGCAATTCATTGACACCTGCTTTTTAGCATGCTGCCAGTGTGTGTGGTTCTGGCATAGAGTTTTGTGCCACGGATTTATCATGCCCTGTCAGGAGGGGAGCTCATGGTTTCCCTTGGGATAGGGGCTTTTTGTTCTACTCACTTCCTATACAGGCCTTCCTTTGCAAGATCATAGAATCACAGAATCACTCAGGTTGGAAAAGACCTTAAAGATCATCGAATCCAACCATGACCTAACCATTCTACCCCAACTCAAACAACCCTCTGCTAAATCACGTCCCTGAGCACCACATCCAGATGGTTTTTAAACACATCCAGGGATGGTGGCTCAACCACCACCCTGGGG